TTTGAGGCAAGTTTACTTCTGGTATATTTGTAGATGGCTTTCGTTCCTTTTCCTGCGAGGTCGGATTCATATATCCGCTTAGCATTTCTCAAATCTCGAGAGAGGTCCTCGGAAAATAAGCGGTGTGCTTCGAAATCGTTATGGTCTTTTGTCACTTTGTACCTCGACCAGAGTCTTCTTTTCCTATAGGAACGGTTGATGAATGCATCATTAATCCAAGGTTTTTTGCTGTTTCTTTTTTTATCGATTTCAAATGAACAGCATTCCATCGCATTGAGAGGTGAATGAGAGAAAAACTCCCACTTGGTATCTACATCTGGGCAAACGAAAAGTGGCTCCCAGCTTAGCGAGTTCAATATGGTAGTCAGCTTTTTGTGATCAATTCGTTTTTGCTTAATAGTAGTATTACGAGATTTTTTATTTGTTATGATTTGTAAATCACAAGTAATAACGATATGGTCTGAGCAGCCAATTGGAGATTCGGAGGAAAAGTTGTGGAATAAATTAGAATCATTTGTAATCAACTGGTCTATAAGGGATGGATTCTGGTTGGCTCTGTATCGTGTAGGTGAATTGATAAGCTGAGACAAACTACAATTGATCAACATTTCAACAAATATGGAGCTGGTGTCACGTGATTCAGGAATTTCATTCAGTGGCCATTTAAGTGATGGATAGTTGAAATCTCCAAACAGGACCAGGTTGTTTGAGGAATGGCTGATTCTATCAATTGTATCAATGAGTATCAAATCGGAATGTTGGGAGGATGATGGGGGTGTGTACACACATCCAAGAGTGAATGAGAAGTGCTCGGATGATAAATTAAGCCAGACATTTTCGATTTCAGGAATATCATGGTGAGTTTGCAGAATGGTGAATTTCACGAAGGCAGATTTTTTCAGGTACACTAGAACTCCTCCACCTCTTCGATTTGGTCGGTCGTGTCTGTAGATTTCATAGCCACTTAAGTTTATGATGGAGTCGGGTATGTTTCCAGCGAGCCAAGTTTCGGTGAGCGCAATACAGTCGGGTGAGTTGCTTTCGACAAATAGACAAAATTCCCTCCACTTGGCAGAAACAGACGCTATGTTTATATATGCGAAGGTTAAATTTGAAATGGAAAATGATTCTAGTTTTTTGGATTTTTGACAATGGATGGGACTCCATGGGTATATTTAATGGTGAGATCGCTCTCGCCATTTGAAAGACGATATTTCAGCTCGTTCCGTAGGTCATCAAGTTCCGCAATCTGCATAGGTGTTTTATCATCATCAATTCGAATGTTTTTGTATTTTTCCGTTGATTTCAGAGACTTTTTATTACGCAAAATCGTAGTGGCAATTTTGTTAGAGTTGAAGATAATTTTAAGAGGGCGGTGTTTATTATCTTTGATTTGTCCAACTCTCATCATTCTGGACGGGACTTCAGTGACATTCAGCAGGGTCAACATTTCGGTAACAGATGTCTTGTCGTGATTTTCATCCTTCTCGGCAAGCCCATACATCATGATATTCTTCGTGCGCGATAAACGCTCATTTAGTTCTTGGCCAGAGAGTGATGGTGATTTAACATAAGACTGCGCGCATGCAATGTAATCCTGTCTTCGAACTGGACAGTTTTTGTCTGCAGCTCGTCGATGACCGACCGCATGAGAGATTGGTGTTGCTGAACAGCTGCAATCGCCGAAGAATTTTCAGCAATCTGAGATCCGTGTGTAGCCAAAGTTGTGCTGCATTTTGCTATTTCTACACTCAGTAGATCGTATTTGTCGTTGATCTCATGACGTAGTTGGTCTTGGGACTGCTTTATGCTCATCAGTTCTGCTAATATAAGACTGAAATCGGCTTTTGTCACGGCAGATGAAGATTTCTTCGAGCAGTCTGGGCACAGCCAATTCTGTGAGGGATCTTTCCGATCTTCTTGGTCCAAACAATATAAATGGTACCTGCTCGAACATTTTGTGCAGAAAACTGTATCCTTTCTGGTACGATCGTTTTTCTTTAAACAAATGGTACAATCGTCTGACATGCTTCTGTATCAGGAGATAAGTGATTCAGCTACCAACGGATAGATGGCGGTAGTGATTCACGATTCAAATTTCAAATTGATGCTTAGTTTCAGATTCGAGCAGCACACTGTTATGAATCCTTATTATAACCCACGAAATTCAAAATGTAGCAGATGTCTACTGAGAAGACCACTATTCGGAAGAAGAGCGAATATGAAGCAATTTAGATAAGGTTGATGGAAATATTATTCAGGTATGTTTCAGATTCAACATCAGTTTCAATTCTCATGGACTTTCTGATATGTGATGTTTAGTTGCAGATCCGAAAGGCAAAGTGTTTGATACTTGTCAATAAATTGGAGGAAACCACCCAGTCAAGACGGACCGAGCAGAAAATCCGCAAAGAGAACTGACCAGAGTATACTTTTCAGAATTCTGATCCTTATATTTGTACGGAAGGCGATATATTGATATCCTTCACAGATTCTCAAGAAAACAGATAAGACAGATATTCACCTTTATGTCTCTATGGACACACGACAGGTAACCTTACGAGGGGAGAGTATCAACTCGGCGTTTATAAACCCTCTCTGCAAAGGAGGTCGGCGCATGGTGGGTTAGGTATGCAGTGCGTTCATAAAGTGTGGAAACGCTCCATTATCTTACGATATAATTATTTTCAGAGGTAAAGCTCGGACAGGTCGATTTTGTATTTCAGTCTTCCATCTTTTTTTACAAAAAAATAATTTTTTCCCCCACCACCTTACAAGATATGACGTCATCGATATTTTTTTTAAATTGAAAGGGTATATTTTTATATCAAAAATTGAAAGCCCATATTTTTCTGAGTTCAACCATACCACATACGTCATATCTTACACTTCAAGTTACAGTATACTGAGTATAAAAGAAACCAGTGTTCATATTTCTCAACATTCATTCAATTATTTATTTTGCTTTTTATTTAAGGGAGACGAAGAAATCATATGTGTATAACATTGGGGTAAAGTATATTCTATTCTTCATTTTCCTGCAATTTCACGTATTACTTTTTATAAGCCTACTTTTCGTCTTAGAATTAGTCACTTCACAATTTTTCTCCGAGTTGGATTTCCGAAAATATATTTAGCACATATGACATGAGTCCAGTAGTTCAGATACCCACATCAAGGTTTTCACAATTTCTCAATCATAAGGCCCAACTCATTCAGCTCATAGTTAAACTACTGCTCAGCTTGAAATCAGAATTCATTCAGTTAATTCAGTCAACCTTGGTATACAGTCTAAGAACAGTCTCTTTTGGTGAAATATATTAAGCTCTTAGTACAAATTATATGTTCCCTACCTCGCGAAGATTATGCTGGAGTAGTAAACTTTAAAACTAGAAAATTGTTCAACTATATCTTGGTATAGTTGAATCAGGAATTCCATATGGAAATTACGTATGATACGCCAATTACCTCAATATATAAAACAACAACAATAAAAAACAACAAATATCAAAAATCTAGTGTTTATCCCCAGAATTGAATGAAGATGGAACTATATAACTGTTTCACAATCACTTTAGAGTGAGAGGAGACGAGGATCTGTCCGTACCGTTAAGATGACTTTAACGTCAATTTCCATCAAGGAACTCTGAGTAAAAGTAATGATAAACATGATTTTTCAATTTTCTATAAACCTTCCCACACTGATATCACTATTCATGATAATTCAACACACCCTTATCAACATGAAATTGATGCATATAATAATATATACAGGCTTGTGAATGTCTCTCTTTAGAAAGTGAATTTCAATAAGGAACTCTATAAAATAACACAGATTGCAGTCAACAACGGATACAACGTTAATTTGATATACAGTATTTTTTCTAAAGAACTTCACAATAAAGCCATTCATGAAGTTTATCTTATCATCAAGAATACTGATCAAAATTATAGAACTTCAACATATTTTGGAACATCAACTGAAAAATTAGCTTCATTTCTACATAAACAGGACTTAAAAGTAGCATATAAAACAAATAACACGTTGGGAAAGTCTGTCAAAAATAACGAAGGAGAAACATCTAAATTTAAAAAAATCAGGAGTATACAAACTCAAATGTGGATCTTGTCCTAAGGTATATATCGGTCAGACAGGTCGTAGGTTTAATCAGCGCATCCATGAACATGAGATGAGTTTTTTGAAAAAGGAAACAAATTCAACATACGCCGACCATATATTGAAAGAAAACCATAGTTTTGATGATAATTTCGAAATTCTACACGTAGAAAATATAGGAATGAAACTCAATCAATTTGAATATTAGAAATCAACAAACTCAAAAATTCTGACATTCTACATAACCATCGAATATACCTCAATAGTTCACCACTGTTGAATTTGTTTTCTTAGTAGATAATAATATGTATCTCCTATCAACCTTTTCAAGTTAATCCGATACACTGTATTTTAATGTAGATAATGTGCCTAATTTCCGAAAATGAAGGTTTATCAAACCTGTAGGTAACAGGTAACTAATCCTTTAGGTTGAGAAAGTAAGATATATAAGCAAGCCAACGTTAGTTTAGTTCATCGTACCAGTATATCACCTGACGAAGCTACTGTGTTAGCGAAACATGTCTTGTGTTTGGGAATTTTGTGGAAATCTTATCGTTTATGAAGTTTTTACATTTGCCATGGATTTTGTTACGTTATGCGTAAAATATATATTAATTGTCTGAAAGGTATACTACCAGTAGTATTTTCTATTTTATACCAATATCATTGATTTATCTATTTTTACTATTTCTACAGACGATGGCTACTTGCAACAAAAATAGCTGAATGTTTTCAACTTTTTGTGTCATTGCAACTACAGCTTTCGCTTCACCAATCAGAAGTCGAAACGATGAAAGTTTGGTTGTGGACGCCACTTTATAGGGAATTTTTGGTGCTTCGCTGATTTGCTGGTCAGTGATAAATGCCGAAAAAATTTCTCAACTCACATTTTGAACAGCCTGAGTAGTATCTTGTCACAACTATTCACCATAGCCCCATAGCTGGCTAGCAGAACAGGTACGTGGCTCCTCTCCATAAACTCTGGCCAACTCCTACACAACTCCAGAAACAAAGACAGCACTTCCAACTTCACTTCGGAGTTTTTGCCCAGGACGGTTCCTAGAAACTCCGAGTGGGATAATAACATCTCCAAAATCGCCCTGCCATCATCCGATTCCATAGAACTATACAGTATGTCCAGGAGACTTCTTAATGATTTCAGAAACACAGAGTGCGAAGATATTCCGTGTTTTAAACAATATTTGCAATACAACTTTAGAGTCTCGTTTTTCGAGGTAGTTTTCAAGTCTTTGCTTACAGCGAGATTCTTCAGCTTGTTCATGACGTCATCAAAAATTAAAGCTACACTTTTGGATTTGGAAATATCTTCGTCTGTTTTCAATCCACGTTTGAACACACTGATTTGCAAATGAACGAACGTCATTATGATATTATTGATTTTTTTAGCATCAATTTCATCCGTCGAAGATTTTAGAAAAATTGCACTCAGTAAATTAGCATGAAATACCTCTGTAACCTCAAACTTTTGTATTTTCTCCCAAAATTTCTGGCAGTTTTCCTCAGGCATACATTTCTCGATGAGAACTACGAGACCTTTATAATTTTGATGGAAATGTTGTCCGGCCTTTTGGGGTTTCTGAATAGCCTTGTTCAAAAAACTTTCGAATTTATCATAAATTTGTTTGAGAACTTCGAGCTCTGTATTGTTTTCAAGAAAGATTGCCAATAAAGGCAACAGTATTCCTTTCTTTTCGCAAATGGTATCGATGTTTCTTTCGAAATAATTCATATGGTTGACATTTTTTTTCATCAACAACACTGCTAATTTGATGTTTTCTTTACTGAAGTCTTGTATTTCCAATAAAGCTTGGAAAAGGCTCTCATCTACATTTTTCAAGTTATGAGGAAATGTTTCTAGATATGATAAAAATACTGTTGAAATATTACTCAAATCAATTTCCTGATAGGTTGCTAAAATCACAAAGTAACGTGAAAGATTGTGTACTATATTTTCATTTAATGGCTCAAACTTCGGGTTTATTTGGCAAAGAGTAGTGAGCTGCTCCAGGGCATAAACTAGGATATCAAGTACTATATTGCATTTCTGATATTTCTCAAACGATATTGAAATTGTATTTAATGTAGAAAAACAATCATCATAGCTCAGATTGAAAAGTTGCAGTAGTTCTTTGACATTTGAAGCGAGTTGCTCGTATTTCTGTGGCTTCTTTAATATTTTGATTATTGCATTCAATAATTTCCTCCTGTATACCATCAAATAACTTTCAACTTTGTAACCTGCATCTAGCAATTCTCTGATGATATTCATAATGAAATGAGTGCCAATGTTTGCAGATTCATCTTCAGCGAATGACAAAAAAGTTATATTTTGCAACAAAACAGGATGACCCAAAAGCCTCTCAATGAATACATCGTTGATTGATTTTCTGCCTATCAAATACTTAACGAACTTTCTAGAATTTTCGACTATGTGAGGAGTTAGAAGGTTCTTATTCAGCAGGTTGACAACGTAAAAAATGCTAGCATCAAGTAAACTCAATAATAAATCTGGTATCACGTCGAATGCTTCACTATTTGATAAATCATCGAGAGAACCGCATAAAAATTCATGAGAAAACTTCTCGAAGATATCGAGTTTACCTCTGAATTTGCTCAAGCTTATGATTTCTTGGCCGTCCCTCCAAGCAACAGCGTATTCTTTGAAACTACTAGATAAAAAGTCACATTTTTCTATAATCTGTACCAGAGCATCAGTTCTAGTTTGCATATGGAGTAAATTGATGAAAGCAAAATTGGCGTATATTTTGAAACCTTTCGAAACTTCTTTTTCAGAGGAAAATTTCAACACACCTAGAACCACGGGGCTCAAATATCTGTGATTAAGAACCACTACTTTATCTTCAGTTTTTGAATCTGTGTTTAAAATAGATTGGAGTACATTTGAGTAGGTTTTGAGTGTGCCACTATCTGAATTGAACGAATATAATTCGTCGAAAAATGCCTGTGAATTCTCACTTGTTATTTTCAGGATTTCTATGATATCGAGGACAACATTTTCATCAAATTTCTTCAGGTTCAAAATGGCATTTATCCAAATGTTTATTTCATAACTACACTCTTCGAATACGCCAGAGTTATTGAGAAGTTTGTTGAGTACTGTCAAAATGTCAATACTCGCATCGCTATAATACTTTTTGAAAAGTAAAGGGACTACAAAAGAAAATAAAGCAGTGTGAGGTAAAAACTTTGAGTTATCAAAATCGATGAAAATATTGATCATTTTGACTTTTAAATTAGACGTGTCGATTTCCTTTGCCCGAGAAATGTTGTCGACTTTTTCCAAAATTGCTGAAAATTCAAAATTGTCCGAACTCAGACTGTCTAAAAGGATAGGCGATAAATGTTTGTACTGTTCAAATATATCGAACGCTACCTCTAAAAATTGTATCTGTGAGTATTCTGGAGTCTCCTCCCCATTTTGATAATCATTCAAAATCTTGACACCATCGAGGAAATTTTTCGAAATGAAATTGTTAACATATGATTTCAATTTACTGTGATCTTCGGCACCAAGAGACGTTTTTAATGATTTTAAGTAACTGTTCAAAGATTTGAGCATTTCTAGAAGTAATGAAATTACGTTAAATTTGATGGCGGGACTTTCGAAAATGTTAGTCTCAGGTAGAACTGTCTTTATCACTGGAAGAGGTGATACTAGGCATTGCACTATTTGGAATAACTGGAAAATAAAAACGTGTCGATGTGAATAACAATGAAAATTTCAAAAATGTAATTTCAACCAATTGGCAGGTTCCTTTTTGGTTACGTTGCTTATAGCAACAGGTGATTATCGCCTATAATTGCACGAGTGCATAAAAATTACCGATAATTTTGCAAGTAAGCCTATTATCTAACAATTGCGAGAGTTTATTTTCATATTATGGCGAAAGAGACCGAGTCCGAAGGAGGAGGACTTTCTTACAAAATATGAAAATAAAGGAATGCAATTTGAATAAGATAACACGCTTGAATGCAAAATTGTCTGGTCCTTTTTATGCACGAATGTAATTCATTGGAATATTTCACAAAGTAAGGAATTATGTCTGTTGGATTTGGTATTTTTTGGTTCAATTTCATTTATACTTTTTTTTCCATTTGTCATTTATTTGTATTGTTACCGATATACAGTGTGTCCCACTTACCATGCTCACCATGGGTATCTTTTTAACGGTGAGAGATACGAGGTCGGTTAAATTACACCAAATGTGGAGTTTGTCAAGGCCAATGTGAAAAAATATTTTGATAAAATCTATTCGTTTTTGTTTTATACGCAAAAAACAGATTTTGATCATTTTCAGTTCTCCTCCGTAACTTCTTTTTTTATGAAAATATTCAAATAGGAATTTCACATTCTCATAGCAGTTTTTCAAAGTGATTTCGAAAAAAATATGAAATTTATACCAACTCTTCTAGAATTTGACATATCAGCACCAACATTGGTTTTTCAAATGAAGGACATAGCTCACTATGCCTTAGTTAAAAATAACTTTTTTTTCTCTTACAGATGATATGTCGCAGTGATAGTTTTGTGTTGATAACAACGGAGTTATCGTCATTTATACAAAAACAAAAAAATATTTGGAAGCCGCCATCTTGAATTTATAAATTTTAACAAAATAATCATGATCTCCGACCTCGAAAACCACTACTTATCAATTTTGGATGGAATCGGACCAAATCATGTCCGCCATCTTGGAGCAACCATTTTTTTTAATTGATGGCGGACAAGATTTGTTCCGATTCCATCCAAAATTGATAAGTAGGGGTTTTCGAGGTCGAAGATCATGATTTTTTTGTCAAAATTTATAAATTCAAGATGGCGGCTTCCAAATAATTTTTTGTTTTTGTATAAATGACGATAACTCCGTTGTTATCAACACAAAACTATCACTGCGACATATCTGTAAGAGAAAATAAAGTTATTTTTAACTAAGTCATAGTGAGCTATGACCTACATTTGAAAAACCAAAGTTGGTGCTGATATCTCCAATTCTAGAAAAGTTGGTATAAACTTCATATTTTTTTCGAAATCACTTTGAAAAACTGCCATGAGAATGTGAAATTTCTATTCGAATATTTTCATAAATAAACAAGTTACGGAGGAGACATGAAAATGATCAAAATCTGTTTTTTGCGTATAAAACAAAAACGAATAGATTTTATCAAAATATTTTTTCATATTATAGTTGGCCTTGACAAACTCAACATTTAGTGTCATTTAATCGACCTCGTATCTCTCACCGTTAAAAAGATACCCATGGTGAGCATGGTAAGTGGGACACACTGTATGAGGGAAATATTCACCTATAATATCACGAGAGATTCAATTAATTCCTTTCAATTTCAAAATTTTCGTGTTCTCGAAAAAGTTCCAGGATATTAATTGAAGCTAAAGTGGTATTCGGTGAGAAAAGAATACCTACATCATATTATATGGTGAACTGTTGATATACAGGGTGTCCGCTAAAAGGAGGTCAATCCATCAACCATATATTCCCCAGCAAACATGATTGAGCAGTAAATAGGCGGCCGATTGCTGGTAACTGCGGTTAGTTGTCGGCAGCGGCACACCTATGTCGTTAAAATGTTGAAACGACATCGGTTTTGCCGCCATGGCTGAACGTACGCATGTTTATAATGGATGTTTGTTATTCAGCCAGAAATTGCCCGTTTAAAATTCCCGACAATCGTGCCGATGTCGCTTTGACGCAGTATGTATGTTGTTTACAGGTCAGTGGTAACTGAACCAAACGCAATGTTGGCATCACTGGGTTTTTGAGCATTGGTAGTACTGCTAATTTATTTTCGTGTTTTAGTTCTGTGTCCGTAGATCGCGTCAGTTGTCTGTCACTTGTCTTCAGGTATTTGTTAAACGGCGTGATAATATTAATATTATTTAGAAAAAGTTGGTGAGTTTTATGATTGATCCCAGCAAACTATCGTCCGACATCAAGAATAATGATATATGTTATATAACAATAATTAAACTCGTTATTGTCTACCAATCCATTTTTGTGGTAATGATTTTGAGCTAAATATTTGTTCATTACCCTATATTATAACAATGATGCTCCAATGCGAAGTTCAGCTCTTTACCTATATTCGAAAAATATTTGATTCACAGTAATAGATCAAACACTGGAAAAGTAATGTGGCTAGAACATTATCAGACTAAACCTATTCTACGTCGTCGAATCAACAAGTTATGATAGGTATATCGTATATGATCAAATATCAAATATAATTGAAGTATTGTACTATTTCAATTCTGTTGACTGATGGATTCGTAATAGTATCTTTCAAGTTTCGCAGTAGCCTAGTGGTATAAGCGTCTGACAGTTGATTGGATATCCGTTCGATCGCAAGTTCGAGTCCGACTCCCGACTATATCTTTTTTTTATTTCTAACCGAATAGTGTCGGTAGATAGTCGGGCGGCCTACTAGCGGCCGGTGCGACACGGGCTAGCCGGGCCGACGATGTATCATGATTGTGGCCCGCTGATGTTGACTGTCGGCAGTTTTTGGAGGGGGTCTAAAGGCCCGCGCGATACATGTTTGCTGGGTCCTTGAACAGAAATGATATGAGTTTCTAAATACCATTTTTCATTTCAGCCCTTTATATTCGATATACAGGGTGTCAAAGTTGAAAATTAAAACCTGTTTTTTCAAATTACTCGCGTATTTAATAAGATATTGATCTCAAGATTGGTACATCACTTCAGCACAAAGAGTTACATCGTGTGAGGAAAATAAAACAGAAAATAACTGTCAAATACTCAAAATACTAGGGGTCAAGTACACACTTACCCCCGTATTTTCGTTGTACGTGCGCTAATGACTTCCTATCTATTTTTCTTCAAGTATTCAATCATTTTTGAGAATTTTTCGTTTCTTGTAAAATTTCGATAAAATCATTTGTTTTCAAGATAATTCGAAAAGTACTGGTTATTGTTTGATGCCAATGCGGCTTACGGTAATCTCATAATGTTCACATATTCCTATTTATTTCGTCGAAATTGAAAGAGGGCGTAACTTTTTACGTACGGAAAGGTGAATATGGAAATACCGGGTGCTCAGAGCGAATGCATTAAAATAATTTTTACAAAAAAAAAATGAAAAAAGTGAGGACACATGTCGAATAAAATTTTTTTGCCAATCGAACGGCGTGAAATTATTTTTACGGGGTCAAATAAGGAAAAACGTTTTTTGGAATTTCGGGTAAATAATGATTTTATTTTAGGAGGATAGGGGATCGATTTTTTCCGAGAATAGCAAATTTTTCAAAAAAATTCCAAAATTGGTTTGAGCTGTTTTGGGAGGGTGCGGAATTTGATAAAAATATTTTCGGGCGCGAACGAACGGGAAATGAAATGAAAAAAAAAATTAAACAATATATTTTCGGAAATTTTTGGTTGAATTATGATATCCATGATTTTAATAGCTACTTGATGAAAGAAATAGCAGATCAGGGTTATCTGGGGATGTATGAAAGATTTTGTGTTCGAGCCACATATTTTTCAAAGGCTAAGATCCTCTTTGATGAAAAAGGCTCGCATGTGTATTCAAAAAATTGGAGGTCAAATCGAGCAATTCATTTAGACGTATTGAATTTCTATCAATTTTTTTTTGTAAAAATTATTTCAATACATTCGCTCTGAGCACCCGGTATTTCCATATTCACCTTCTTGTACGTAAAAAGTTACGCCCTCTTCCAATTTCGACGAAATAAATAGGAGTAAGGAGTAAGCCACATAGGCATCAAACTATGACTAGCACTTTTCGAATTATCTTGAAAGCAAATAATTTTATCGAAATTTCACAAGAAACAAAAAATACTCAAAAATGATTGTACACTTGAAGAAAAATAGAATGGAAGTCATTAGCGCACGTACAAAAAAAATATGGGGGTAAGTGTGTACTTGACCCTCAGTATTTTGAATATTTGACAATTATTTTCTGTTTTGTTTTTCTCACACGATGTAACTCTTTGTGCTAAAGTTATGTACCAATTTTGAGATTGATATCATATTAAATACGCGAGTAATTAGAAAAAAAAAAACAGTTTTTAATTTCCAACTTTGACACCCTGTATATTGAATATGTAGAGCTAAAATGAAAAATGGTATCAGGAAACTCATATTGTTTTTGCTCAAGGATTTGGTTGATGGATTGACCTCCTTTTAGCGGACACCCTGTATAAATGATTTTTATTTATTGACTTATAGAATGAACTCGAAATAATCTGAAGTTGAATGTTAATGTCATTTAACCTATAAACGTCAAAATATTTCCAGTATAATTTCATGCTCCGTCCCCCAGGGAGGAGGAAAAAATTTCCGAGAAATTTGTTTAGTTGCTATGGTAACGATACGAAATACAGGCTTTAAACTGATCGAAAATGTTTGATGTTAAATTGTTGCTATATCTATTTGCAAAAATTTTATATCTATTGGCAAAAAGTTATATTTGAGACTATGTAGACATGTAATATCAGATGTTAAGGTTGAAAATGAATTAATGTTTTTGAGGTTCCCGAAATTTTTATAAAAAAACTTAGTTACTAACAAGTGAAATCCACTTTTATCATGTGTTTTGAATTTTTATTTGAATTTTGAACTATAATGACATTGGTTTCCAGATAAAAAATGTTTTGATAAATGCAGTGTCAAATTTCATTTGACATCTACGCAGAATAGGACGTAGGTTTCTGTTTCTCATCATATTGAAAGCAACTCAAATTCATGAATTTTGATCTTGATCTCGAGAACCAATCAGAATCGACCATTTTCACGGTTTCTTCTGTATTATAGCGATATTTTTTGTTTATTGTATTTTATCGGACTTGCTCTACCAATACAGTATCCGAATTGACCCACACGTGATCAACAAACCTCGTTTATGAGCGATAAAATTTTGACATCGTGTCTGGTCAAGATTGCTTTGGATTCAAATCCGAGACAATAACCCAAGTTCCTACTTTATTTTATTTACTTATAATTCGTGTTAGTGAGATATTCTGTACGAAAGGCGAGACAATTTTATTCTGGCTGGACGTTTCATGTGTAATTTGAAAAGTTTGCATATTTTTTGACGGTCTAACACAACAGTACTAGAATTCAAATTCCTTTTTGAAGTAATCTTCTTCAATCACTCAAGTTATTGTGACTTATATTATACTTATATTAGTTGATGTAGCGCAACTGTTAGGGTTGTTATGCGAAGATACGAAGGTCGATGGTTCAAGCCCCTCGGCGACGATATCTTTTTTTTATTATTTCATGTCACATGAATTCAATTCATTTTGTTTGAATTGGATAGCAATTGTATACACTGTTTTGAGAGCAACCATCTCCAAGATAATAAAAAAAATACTGTTAATCAAAATTGTACATTCCACTTTGTGAACTATAAGTAGGTAGTTAATTTCTAAGAAATTGAATTCTGTATTTCATTACTATCATTATGTTCTTCTTCGCAGTTTGAAATGGAATATACTTAAATTATGTTTCCTATTTCTTATACAGGGTGTTTCAAAAAACGTAACCCCCTTGCTAGGGTAGGTAGAGTACTGCAAAATAAGTTGGGTTTGCCCAGTGAAAAAATGTAACGGCATTCGTTTTCATGGTACAAGGTGTTGAAAAATTGATTTTTGTACACATTTTTCACGATTATGTCGAAACTACTGGCACCATTATAATGAAATTTTGTATGAATATTTCTTGAAATCTGACACATCACATGAATTTGTTTTTATATCTGACTCTCATAGTGGGCGCTAGTTACAGGGTTCGTACCGAGTAGTTTGGAACATAACTTTTTTGAAGTTATATGTTTCGATCCAAATATGATATGAACTCGAACATCATTTGATGTAACACCAAAAAGGTACTCTTGGTGAAACTGGATACTATGTTCCGTTTTCGGAATATTTCGATTTGAAAATAATGGAGTAATAGCTGATGCTGGTATGAAATGAATTTCTTTCGAGTTCAATTACCTATTTATTCAGATTCGAAAACAATAAAATTATTCTTGTGCTGAAGTTATTGATAAAACAAGGAATCATTAGTAGAAAATAAAGATATTTTACTTGAAACATGAAATATTGAATCAGTTAGAGTAAGTGTTCAAAATGTCCTACGTGTCGAAGAAAAAACGATTCCATATTATTTTCTTAAGAATGTATTATTCTTCTTAACAGTTGAGGATCAGCTGTTCGGTCATTTTAGTGATGTTCAATTATGTCATACAACTCTTGACGTAAATTTACCTATGTAGCATAGACTTTCTGCTCAAGATACAACAAAATTGTGTAATCCATGTTTTTAGTCAAATCTGTTTCATGTTATTCTTGTGATTCATTGTTAAATCAACAGGTTCAGCATCAGCAATGTATTGTTGTTTTCGGTTTTCAATAAGAAGGTGATAATTTTTCATAATACTCACACTAATACATAGCTTTATACAAGCAAAAGTTATCACTTCATCATTTTCGAATAGAAATATTCCAAAAACGGAACACAGTATCGAGTTTTACCAAGAGTACCTTTTTGGTGTGGAATTGAATGATGTTCAAGTTCACATCAAATTCGGATTGAAAAATCTAACCTCAAAAAAGTTATGTTCAAAACTACTCGGCACGAACCGTGCAACTATCGCCCTCTATGAGAGTCAGATAAAAAAACAAATGCATGCGATGTGTCAGATACCAAGAAACATCCATACAAAATTTCACTACAATGTTGACAGTAATTTCGACATAATCTTGAAAAATGTGTAAAAAAATCATTCTTTCAACACCTTGCACCTTGATAACGGATGCCGTTACGGAATTTTATTACTGAGTAAACCCAACTTATTTTGCAGTGTCCTACCTACCCTAGTAAGGAAGTCAGGTTTTTCTGAAACACCCTGTATATATTGTCTCATTCAATCATGAAATGAATACAACTCGTGATACTATTTTTCCTGGAAATATTCGTCGATTGACATACTCCAGCTTGCTGCTCTAATTTCGCTCATGACATTGATCCAAAACTACTCGCCTAGGGCTCGTAGTTTTGATAACAATGTCATTCACGAAATTACTAGGCAACAAGCTGTCGTAACAATCACCGAATATTTCCGGCAAAATATTATCACTTGTGGTATTATACAGTCTGTCCAAGATAAGGTTGAACAGCATGGGGATCTCGAAAACGGTAAGAGATACGAAATCGGTTAAATGGGGAAAATGTTGCGCATTCGGAGGCTCATATCAAGAGCCTTCGAAAATTTTGAAAATTATTTTTAGTTTTTGAGTTATATCGAAAAAAGTGAATTTTTGGAATTTCTATTTTATTTTTTTTCTCCGTTATTATTAGAGATACAGTAAAACTGAGAATACTTTTTCATAGCAACTTTTGATGACGGTCAACGTGGTGATACCGATTTTTTCATGCGACGTTTCGTATTCGTGGAACCATCATCAACTTTTGTTTTTTAAATACGGTCCTGATAATTTTTTCACAGATTCTGAAAGGTTTTTTTATTTTGAATTCAACCATGTATTATACAAGGTGGTTCATTTGTGTTTCGACCTATTTTTGGCCATCATCAATGTTTTTTCGAAACTCCAAAGTAAAAATGCCATCAGTTCCACTTATTTTGAAGGAAAATTAGTCAACACACTGATACCTCATCAACTGGTTTCAATCAACAACCCATTTCATTTTGCGGAAACAAAAATTCCATCCATACAAATTCAGAATATGTCAAGCGCTAAAACCAGGCGATGACGAAAGGCGCAAGACATTCTGTGAGTGGTATACCAGGAAATGTTAAAATTTTGCAGATTTCTTTCGAACAATCATCTGGACTGATGAAAGCATGGTCACTAATCATGGTAGCTTCGATAGAAAAAATACACATTATTGTTCACGAGAAAATGAACATTTATACATTACAGCGAGACACCAACACCGTTTCGGCTTTAATATGTGGGTTGCAATATTTGGTACACGAATTATTGTTCCTTCTATTTACCATGAAACACAGACTTCCGAACGTTATAGAAATTCGCTTGAGAATCATCTTGAGGAAGCTCTGGATGATTTACCGATTGCGGAAGTTCAGAACTCTGTTGGTTTCAACAAGATGGCGCTCCGGTACATAATTCCAGAGAAGTCCGTGCGTTTTTATCCCTTGGCCGGCGCGGTCGCCTGATTTGACACAGCTGGATTTTTTCTTAGGGGATATATCGAACTTTGTACATGCAAATAACTTTGAGGATGAAGAAGAACTAAGGGACAGTGTCTTTGAAGCATTCAATAGAATAACCCCAGAAATGCTTAGCAATGTCTTAGAAACAACTGTGAGAAGAGAATATCTTTGTTCAGAAAATAATGGTTATCATTTTGAACATTTGTTATGAATGTCTCTGTAGGTATTGTCAAAGTTAAGTTGTTAAAGTAATTCGTGTAAGAATTCATCAACAATTTTAAACGCTGCATTGATCGAATGATGTAGTGAAATATTTTTAATTCACTTTTCAGTATTGAATAACTAATCCATCAAGTTTGACACTAAATGATAAGAAATAAGTGGAACTGATGGCTTTTTTTCTTTTGGAAGTTCGAAAAAACATTGATGATGGATAGAAATAGGTCGAAACACATTCGAATCACCTTGTATAGTACATTGTTGAATTCAGAATGAAAAAACCTTTCAGAATCTGTGAAAAAATTATCAGGACCGTATTTAAAAAACAAAAGTTGATGATGGTTCCACGAATACGAAACGTCGCATAAAAAAATCGATATCACCACGTTAAACTTCATCAAAAGTTGCAATGAAAAAGTATTTTCAGTTTTTCTGTATCTCTGATAATAACGGAGAAAAAATAATAAAATAGAAATTCCAAAAATTCACTTTTTTCGATATAACTCAAAAACTAAAAATAATTTTCAAAATTTTCGAAGGCTCTTGATATGAGCCTCCGAATGCGCAACTTTTTCCCCATTTAAGCGACTTCGTATCTCCTACCGTTTCCGAGATCCCCATGCTGTTCAACCTTATCTTGGACAGACTGTATATGATAATTCTGCTGCTAGGGAGATGGAGAATTCCAAACTCATTTTATAAAGATTCGTCTGAAAGAATCTTCTCCATTAGCAACTGGCTCTCCTATAAAAAAATCCACAAAATCAACTCCCACTTACTTGTGTAACATTCAACTCTTTCATGCAGAATTCAGTACAATTCTGTTGAAGTTCTCGGATCAATTGCTTGGCGAATTTCATGGCGCTGAGCCATTTATCGGACATCCTCGGGACCAGGAACGGCTTTAGGTTGGCCCAAATCGTTTTCGCCAGGTCCGGACAGGCCCCGCAAATCTTCAGAACCAGTTCGGATGCGTACGAGTGGTCCCAAGGCCTGGATAATATTTAATACAGGGTGTTTCTTAAGTACGTGTAAAAAATTCAGGAGCATGTTGCCGACGTCAAAATAAAAAGGAAATTCGTATAAATATATGTCCGAAAGTTATTCGTTTCTGAGATACAGAGTGTCAAAGTTGAATTTTTATTTTTGTTTTTTGTTAATACAGTTCAAAATAATTCGAATAAAATTTTGTATCTAGGGGTATTTTTCAATAACAATATTGAATTATATGTTAATTTTTCTCATTCGTGAGGGTGGCGCCACCTGCATGTCTTTTGAGTCTCTTGAAAAGTCATAACTTTTTTGTGCAAACCTGTATGACGTGTTATAGTAGGAATATAGATTTCTAGAACTCTTTTGTGTGAAAAAATATATTCTTGGTAGGGGTCACTGCGAGCAACTGTTTTTGAGTTATTGGGATTTGAAATAATTGATGCGTAATCATCTGAGTGGGTAATAGTCATAATGTGCAAGTAGAATACTATACTTTATCTACAACTATTCAAATATCAAAGCAACTCTGAGAGTTCAGAAATATATATTTGGAAATAATGAAGGTTATTATATCGCAAAATCTGATTTGAAATACTCATCAATTTCATTGATAACTTATTTTGATAATTTTGATTGTGAAAATATGATAAACAATGTTGGATCTAACGTTTTTGAACAGAAAAAAAGTCGAGCAATCATATTTCAGTCAATCTTATCAGGTATTATGAGCCATTTCACTTTTCAGTTGTAAAATGAATCATACTATTGCAGATTATTCATTAACTTGCTTCCGCTGTAGTATTTCCCCACCGCGATGATTAATTGTAGTACTCTGTCTCTAGACGCAATTATCAACAATAAAGTTCCATGATTCTGATTTGTCTGTACTAATCTATTCTAATAGCCCGCACATAAGCGTGAGCCAATCTACAAGTGTCAAGGCCTTTTTTATGGTTATGGTTACTCATGATGGAAGTCTATCTATTTAACGCACACGATATGAATTTGAAAATAACATTTTCTGAAGTAGAGATTTTGCATTCTCCTTCATGTAAAGATATGCATATAATATAATTCTGAACATTCAACAGAAAAAACTACTTTCCTGGCTATTCGCCACGTCGAACATTGAATTATATCTATTGAATATCCAAAATGATGAGGGGTCGTAGTTTGCAGTTACTCACAACGTCATTGGAAGCAACCACAGAAAGAACCAGACCTCATTTTCAACAAAGAAGCGTGGAAAAGTACGGAAATACAACTAATGCAGAATCAACCGTTGACAGGTCAGCAGTGACAGCATCAGCCGATAAAGCATCATATTGGGAGGTATACCCGTTCCTCTTTTATCTGATCATAGAGATAAAGAATATTTTATAGATGATTCGGATACGGATCCTACTCATTTTATGCCTGATAAACGACTTAAGCCTAGCAGATTATTCTCTTTTTTCTCCTCGTGGTCTTCGTCAGACTAAAGCTTATTATCATAAAGCTCCAGCAGTTCCAGTAGTTCATCTGATGATGAATCCAATAGACCAGGTCCTTCTACAGGGAATACTCAAGGGAATTCCAATTCTACTCACGGTCGTCATAACTGAATGTGTTCTTTCAAATGACGTTCATTGTATGTCAACTGATTCAGTTCAGTTCAAGTGAAATGTGTCAGTACGTTCAGAACGAAAGAATACCACTATCAATGTCGGCTAAATACCTAGACTGTTCGACACTCCAGATATTTAGCCGTTATTGTCACTATTCGCGAGATTCACGAAGTGGGCGACATCTAGGTTACATAATACGAACTTCCAACTGGGGGAAAACAAACTGTTGTCTATGGATAAAGTGCATAGACAACATTGCATTCAGCTTGCTGTAGCTGTATAGTCAAACTTGTCAATGACATAGTGTTGGCACTGTTGGTAGTGATGATGGTTGAGTTAGTCAATTTTTTTACTTTATCACATTTTTATTAGTTCAGTGAACAGTGAACGGGTGAAGGATTGGAGATTGTTCAAACAATTCAAACTAATTATGACTAATTGAAATACAGGCTGATTTTAAAATTAAAATAAGTGCATATATTTCAAACACTAAGAAAGCTTGAGGTATACTACCGAATAGCACTATTAAAAATATTATTAGGATCAAAATAGATTTGGGGCAAAATACCCTTTTTCCGCCCAGATTTCTACTTCTGTCACAACTATCGTTTGCGATCCGCAGTCGACCGTGATGAACGAAGCGACGTTGCCACTCTACATGAAAATTAGGAGATATTAAATAAAATGTATAATCGAGAACATGTACATGGGGAAGAAGTTAACCCTGGTCTTGAATTTCAGAAAGATAATACAAAAACTTCAAAATGGACTCACCCAAGATTTCTACACATAAGCTCGAATAGCGTATAACTTAACACCTCACGGTTGGAAGTTCTTTTACTGAAAAATCCTTTAGACCCTTCCTTCCACCTCCTTGCATCGCTACAATTTCGTGTCCTTCGAGGAGTCTCATGGGCCCCGCACAATAACGACCCGACATAAACGTATTATTATTATTATTATTACATAAGAACCATATCATTCAGCTCAATGTTTGAGAAATGCATCGTCACATCCCAAGCAAATTGTCAGAAACAAAACTTTACATTTACTAGTATCACGTTTTGACGTTTTCCAAAATAACATACATTCTCAGAACAACAAACTGTCAAGATAGGATCTTTGTTTTGATTGTTCTTATGGTGTGCTACCAGCAAGAATTCAGATGACCATAAATTACTAATAGGCGACTTTTACGGACCAATCAGAAACAGCAAAGTAGTGCCTGCGTGGTTGCGATTCATCCTGATTGGGCACAGGTGATTGAGATTAATGTATTAGTAGGAAGGATCATTTCTTTAAATGAAACTACCATTTTCATAAAAAACTAATTTGGAAAAAACATCTATTAGTTTAATTCAATGAAATGATACTTCCTCACTATACACTGATCTCACAAATCCAATCAGCTGTGTCCAATCAGGATGAATCGCAACCACGCAGGCGCTACTTTGCTGTTTCTGATTGGTCCGTAGAAATCGCCTATTAGTAATTCATGGTCATCTGAATTCTTGCGTCCGAAACGGTCAGAAGCATGCGCAGTTTCACAGAACTGTATGATTTTTTTGGGTTCTGTGGACTTGTGCATGCTTCTCACGGTTTCGGATTGTTTATTTTCTGAACGCGAACAATCCTAGTTAGTACTGTCAAAGGTCACAGCAAAGAGGAAATCTATGGTCACAGATACTACTGTTCTGAGAAATGATGTTGACAGATCATATGATAATAGTTTTGTTTGTGTGGTTGCTGGTTTGTAAAATAATTGTAAACGTAAAATAAAAAATAAAATAATTGGATGTTGGTAACATTGATTCCCGCGAATTATAGTTTTTATTGAGTGACAAATGCAATGACAAATGGTGACAAAACCAAATGTATGACGCGGTGTGACGCACCTTGTATTCGTCCAATGAAATGCCATCAATATTTCACATGCATTTTATTAATTTTTTTCTGGGTCAACCGCAATCGTAAGAAAATTGAAAAAATGATGAATTCACCCAGTATGTGTTCTAAATCGTGAAAAAAAATTCAAAAAATCATGGTGAAATTAGCTATTATGACATCTGTCAAATTTCATATTGCCGCAGATTTTTCGAATTCAGAGTTGAATAATCCCACTATTACATATTATGTTTCGCGTACCTAAAATACCATTTGCTATTGTATTTCCACTCGTCACATCAGCAATAGCAGCATCACCATCTAGCGGAAAAATGTAAAATCAACGTCTCGCTCGATGAGTCGTAGATATATCATAGTAGGCGGTCGAGTGATTTTTCTTAAGTTTCAAATACGTTGAAATGGCCGAGTACGCGCACTATCTACTTATTTCCATCATTCATTACACCTACCTGTCTAAACTTTCCAGAACAGTATACATCAAGGCGTTCTGGTTCTTCTTTCCGAGACCCAAAAAAGGATCTCTAAAAATGACACCAAACTTATGGGAAGTGCATAAGACCAGCAGAAATTCATGCACACACTCATTAACTCTACTCTTCTCCAATTGGTCTACCTGAAATCAAAATAATGATAAAGTATGAAATAGATTCGAAATTTACATTATACTGAGGCGCTTGCCAAGTAATTATTGGTTGGGGTCAATATTATTGCACTTTGAAAACCCATTACCATACCAATACCAAAAATATATAGAAGACTAGCAGACCTCGAAAACGTTGTTTTGCTATCATCTACATTATTTCTATATAATACTAGCTGACCTGGCAGCGATTTTACTAAATATAAACTATTGCAGCACAAGACACGCCCACCATAATACGTCATATCTCATACTGTGCTCCAACGCAAGAACTGAAGCTTTCTCGTTGTCAATCTCTTGTACGCAGTAAATTCATACACCCAAATGGTCTACTGGTTAGCGCTGTCGACTCTCAGTCTGAAGGTTCATGGTTCGAATCGCTGTGAACTCAAACTTTTTTTGCAACTTTTTTTTTTTCACCAATGTTTTTTTACTTCATTCTGGTTTTCCTTTTTCATAAGATATTTGAAGTCAAATAGGTTAGTGCGTTTAGGATAAACAGTCTCATTTTATTCAATTTTGTTGAAGAACTCAACTTTTGAAATATATTATTAATCAATGTGTTTCTACACTCCATTCGGGTTTCCTTCCTCAAAAATATTGCAATCAGGGATAGGTTAGTTCGTTGAGGATAAATAGTCTCTGAGTTTTGCCTAAGTAAAGTACTTTGAAGATGAGATATAACGTGGTATGTGCTACTTTTTCAATCGATTTATTTATATGAATCAGCTACGTTGTGCTGTCAAAGATTAGATTTTGCAGGATTGTGCTGGGCTCGATTATATTTTGCAATGCCGTAGTAGGGGGCGTGTCTTGTGCTGCAATAGTTTATATTTAGTAAAATCGCGACCCGGCAAACGTTGTTTTGCCATAACATTATTTCAAGAAAAAATGTTTCTACATAAATATTTATCGAAGAACTTTCATTTATTTATTTATACTTCTTTTTAGTTCGGCTATCCATGACAACGGGATTCTTTAGTTTTTCAAACTACTCTACTTATTCTCTACTTCTTTTTAGTTCAGCACTCTATATCTCTTTATTTTTTCATCAATTTACTACTCACTTCTTTTTATTTTGGCTATCTATGAAACGTGTTTCATTAGTTTTTCCAACTACTATTTATTACAATAGCTGATTCTGATACCTAGCACACGTTATTTTGCTATATGAATTTTCTTCTAGATAATATTTTTTAGTTAAATATTCATCAGCACACTTTTATTATTTTGTTTTGAACTTCTTTATTTTGAATATCCATGAAATCGTGTTTCATTAGTATTTCAAACAAATAATTTCATTTTCTACTTCTTTTTAGTTCGACAATCTATCTCATTTTTTATTTTATACTATCAATTTTCTATTCTATTCAGTTTGGCCTCGAGTTTGGCTATCTATAAAAGCGTGTTTCATTATAGTTGTTCAAACTACTATTCATTACAAAGCCCTTTCACCATATTGGATGCGCCATCTTGAATTTCCCAATTTTAAAAATAAAATCATAATCTCCGATCCCGACAACCCCCAGATACGGATTTTGAATAGAATCGGATCACAATTAAAAAACTCGTCCGCCATATTCGATCCTCCTCTTTAATTTCCTAATTTTGATGAAAGAATCAATCTCTGACCCGAAAATCACCCAGATACAAATTTTGAATGGAATCAGATCATAGTTACAAAACTCGTCCGCCATATTGGATCCGCCATCTTGAATTTCCAAATTTTGACAAAAGAATCATTATCTCCGACCCCAAAAACCACCCGATACCAATTTTGAATTGAATCAGACCATAATTACAAAACTCGTCCGATATATTAGATCCGCCATCTTGAATTTCCTAATGGTACCGGGATAAAAAGTATTCTATAACCCTCTCCTGGTCCTAAGCTACCTCCCCACCAATGTTCAGCCAAATCGATCCAGTAGTTTCGGAGCCTATTCAATGGGTTGCGTGTAAGAACTGTCAGATGGCTGATCCTGTGCTGTTGTACAATGCACAAAAACTGCAGCAGAAGACGAAGGAATCCTGTTGTTACATTATGATTTAAAAGTAAGTACCTACCATAGTCACTCACATATAGTTTTCATTTTTGAAATTTGGTAATTTCTCTGATTTCTCATCGGAATTCCATCTGCAATACGAGCTAATAGACACATGAAATTTCCAAAATAATGCAAGAAGATTGGATTCATGCAATCAAAGGGGAGGACTGGTCTGACATGTTGACGAAATATGATGGTGTGTGTAAAGGTGGATATACAGTCTGTCCAAGATAAGGTTGAACAGCATGGGGATCTCGAAAACGGTAGGAGATACGAAGTCGGTTGAATGGGGAAAAAGTTGCGCATTCGGAGGCTCATATCAAGAGCCTTCGAAAATTTTTGAAATTATTTTTAGTTTTTTAGTTATATCGAAAAAAGTGAATTTTTGGAATATTTATTTTATTTTTTTTCTCCGTTATTATTAGAGATACAGAAAAACTGAAAATACTTTTTCATAGCAACTTTTGATGACGTTTAACGTGGTGATACCAATTTTTCTATGCGACGTTTCGTATTCGTAGAACCATCATCAACTTTTGTTTTTTAAATACGGTCCTGATAATTTTTTCACAGATTCTGAAAGGTTTTTTTATTCTGAATTCAACCATGTATTATACAAGGTGGTTTATGTGTGTTTCGACCTATTTTTAACCATCATCAATGTTTTTTCGAAATTCCAAAGGAAAAATGCCATCAGTTCCACTTATTTTGAAGGAAAATTAGTCAACACACTAATACCTCATCAACTGGTTTCAATCGAGGTTTCAATCAACAACCCATTTCATTTTGCGGAAACAAAAATTCCATCCATACAAATTCAAAATATGTCAAGCGCTAAAACCAGGCGATGACGAAAGGCGCAGGACATTCTGTGAGTGGTATACCAGGAAATGTCAAAATTTTGCAGATTTCCCGCGAACAATCATCTGGACTGATGAAAGCATGGTCACTAATCATGGTATCTTCGATAGAAAAAATACACATTATTGTTCACGAGTCACGAGAAAATGAACATTTATACATTACAGCGAGACACCAACACCGTTTCGGCTTTAATATGTGGGTTGCAATATTTCGTACACGAATTATTGGTCCTTTTATTCACCATGAAACACATACTTCCTAACGTTATAGAAATTTGCTTGAGTATCACCTTGAGGAAGCTGTGGACGATTTTCCGATTGCGGAAGTTCAGAACTGTTGGTTTCGACAAGATGGCGCTCCAGTACATAATTCCAGAGGAGTTCGTGCGTTTTTATCCAGAAAACAGGATTGGTACTCATTCTGCAGTCTCTTGGCCGGCGCGGTCACCTGATTTGACACAGCTGGATTTTTTTTAGGGGATATATCCAAAACTTTGTACACGCAAATAGCTTTGATGATGAAGAACTAAGGGACAGTGCTCGGGACAGTGTCATCGGAGCATTCAATAGGATAACCCCAGAAATGCTTAGTAATGTCTTAGAAGCAACTGTGAGAAGAGGATATCTTTGTTCAGAAAATGATGGTTATCATTTTTGAACATTTGTTATGAATGTTTCTGAAGGTATTGTCAAAGTTAAGTTGTTAAAATTAATTCGTGTGAGAGTTCATCAACAATTTTAAGCGCTGCATTGAACGATGTAGTGAAATATTTTTCATTCACTTTTCAGTATTTAATAACTAATCCCTCAATGTTTGACACGAAATGATCAAAAATAAATGGAACTGATGGCACACTTTTCTTTTGGAAGTTCGAAAAAACAATGATGATGCATAGAAATAGGTCGAAACACATTCGAATCACCTTGTATAATACATGATTGAATTCAGAATAAAAAAACCTTTCAGAATCTGTGAAAAAATTATCAGGACCGTATTTAAAAAACAAAAGTTGATGATGGTTCTACGTATACGAAACGTCGCATAAAAAAATCGGTATAACCACGTTGAACGTCATCAAAAGTTGCTATGAAAAAGTATTTTCAGTTTTTCTGTATCTCTAATAATAACGGAGAAAAAAAATAAAATAGATATTCCAAAAATTCACTTTTTTCGATATAACTAAAAAACTAAAAATAATTTCAAAAATTTTCGAAGGCTCTTGATATGAGCCTCCGAATGCGCAACTTTTTCCCCATTTAACCGACTTCGTATCTCCTACCGTTTTCGAGATCCCCATGCTGTTCAACCTTATCTTGGACAGACTGTATGTATGGTGAAATAGCTCCCTCTTACAAAACCCTAGAAATTTTTGTAGACCTCTGGCCTACTTGATTATGTCGAATTCTATCACCGTAGTAAGGCCGCGCAAAACTAACGCTAGATGGCGTTGTTCCCGAAGTGATCTTGCTACACAATGGTTGTTTTGTTTTGTTGTTTACATTTATGTATATTAATTCGTAATTCAAAATCATTGAAAAAAGTGATTGATTTAATGAAAAAGACGTGAAATTTTCATTATATCTGTGAAGTATATGTGGCACGATGTTCCCTACGCCATCTACAGTCAATCCGGTGCGGCCTTGCTACGGTGTTTCGCTGTCTACACGTTTTGGAAAGAAACAATTGACAAGTGGTTACACCAGTCTATTTTCATCATGGTGTGTGTTGTAGACATTTTCAATCTATAAGCAGTATTAGCTTCTATTGCATAAGTGGCAGAAGGAATTCTAATAAGGAATAACAACATTTCATTGTACAGGGTGATTGACTATGGATTTCTCGACTTCAACAGCTGATATCTTGAAAACGAAAAAAGATATTTAAAATTTGGAGAAAGGTACTTGAATGAGATGTCATTTCCTTCTAGAAAATGTGTTCTCTGCTTGATTTTATCATTTCATATACAGGGTTCGTGAAACATTTTTTTTTTCAAATGGAACCCCCTGTATATTATTGCATATTGAGAAAGAGCTATCTTTCCTGATTTCAAAGATATATACTTTCCATATATTCTATCGAGGGCTTGACGAAATATCAGCAAAATTAAATATTAATATTTGGTCCAAGTTAGCTATGGTTGAAATAAAATGAGATGTATCACACTTGGGGCCAATCGGAAATGATTACAGAGATACAGGGTGTGCAAAATCGAGATTTTTCAACTTTGGGATTTTTTTGAGTCGAAACTATTCATTATCGGTCTAAACGGCTCACATGTCCCTATCTCAACTTTTGATTTACTATTCACTGATATTCAATCGGAACAGATACAGGGTGTTTCAAGATTCAGAATTCTGAACACCCGGTATCTGTTCCAATTAAATGTCAGTAAATAGTAAATCAAAAGTTGAGATAGGAACATGTAAGCCGTTTTGGCCGATAATGAATAGTTTCGACACAAACAAATCCTAAAGTTGAAAAATCTAGATTTTGAACACCTTATATCTCTGTAATCATTCCCTAAAGACCCCAAGTGTGATGTATCGATGAAATCAGCTCTTCAGGGAGAATCTAAAAATGCAATAAAATACAGGGTATTCTATTCAAAATAACAAAGTTGTTGCTACTTTTTTATAGAAGCGGCGACACTGCATTGCTGAAAATTTTTTAAATGAAGAGAACGTATTCTGAATTATAAGCATGCATCTTTTTTAGGATTTCTTCCGACTGATTCTCGATATAGAGATAGTGTAAGCTCATCGTGACATACCCTGTAGATGATAGATGATACATATCAGAGTGAATGCTGACAAACAAATCCGAGCCGAATCAGATCATCCGTTTGCAAGATATGCCGTTTTCAGAATTTTCATGAGAAAAATAATGCTGACAGACAAAAAATTACTAACACAAAATAATCGAATTGTTGGAATTTGAAATTTTCTGAATGTTGACAGAAACAAAAATTACATAGACAAACTGGATTTTTTGAATTTCAGAATTTTCTGGAGCCGAATCAGATCATCTGTTCACTAGATGTTATCATTTTGGATTTTTTATGAGAAAAATTAATGCTGACAAAAAAAATTACATAAAAAAAGTCGATTTCTCTAATTTTCTGATTTTGGAGCTGTATTTTATGACAAGAATGAATGCCGGCAAACAAACCCCAGCCGAATCAGATCATCTGTTCACTATATATGATAATTTTGCTCGCAATTTTGGATTTTTCAAACAAAATTTACATAAAAAATCGATTTCTCGAATTTTTTTATTTTGGAGCTGTATGTTATGAGAAAAATGAATGCTGACAAACAAACGCCAGCCGAATCAGATTATCTGTTTACTAGATATGACAATTTTGAATTTTTTGAAACAAAATTTACATAAAAAAATTGATTTCTCGATTTTTTCTGATTTTGGAGCTGTATTTTATGAGTAGAATGAATACTGACAAACAAACCCCAGCCGAATTGGATCAACTGTTTCCTAGATATGGTAATATTGGGTTTCTTATGAGAAAAATAGATGCTGACAGAAACAAGTTACATAGAAAAATTCCATTTCTGGAATTTTCGAATTTTGTGATTTTGAAGCTGTTTTTATGAGAAGAATGAATGCTGAAAAACAAACCTCAGCTGAATCGGATCATCTGTTCACTATATTTGACAATTATGGATTTTTTATGAAAAAAATTAATGCTGACAGAAACAAGTTACCTAGAAAAATTCTATTTCTCGAATTTTTTGATTTTGGAGATGTATTTCATGATAAGAATGATTGCTGACAAACACAGTGGAATCAGATCATCTGTTCACTAGATATGACAACTTTGGATTTTTTTCAAACAAAATTTACATTAAAAAAATCGATTTCTGGAATTTTCTGATTTTGGAGCTGTATTTTGAGAAGAATAAATGCTCACAAACAAACTCTAGCTGAATTGGATCATGGGTGGGCTAGCTATTTATGGTTTTTAAAAAATTTGGTAGAAGAGGAACATCTCAAATATTTAATTTCAGACCTTTGTTTGTGATCTTTCAAAATTCCTTAGCACAGCTCACAACAACCATAGGTATACATACAGGGTGAACTTTTTGAAAAAAACTGAACAAGTGACATTTCTCAAGAATGGTCCTGAATTTTACAGATTCTGAATGAGTCACTTGATTAGAGGGTGATAGCAAAATATTCCATGGAAAAATCAGGTGAATTGAAAAAGCTGTTGAAGAGTTATGAGGAAAAGATATTTTTGCTAAATCTCATAATTCAACATTCAACCTATAAATAAGAGAAGATACTAAACTTTCTGCTAGTCATAAGTATTCCTCAGGGGTGAACAGCTGTGGAATTCTGATAAAAAAACAACAACTGGAATTTGTTGAAATATCCTGGATTTCCTAGGAACTCCTTGGACTTCCTTGGATTTTCCTGGATTTCCTAGGAATTTCCTGAATTTCCTAGGAATTTCCTGGATTTCCTAGGAATTTCCTGGATTTCCTAGGAATTTCCTGGATTTCCTAGGAACTCCTTGGATTTTCTTGGAATTTCCTGGATTTCCTAGGAATTTCCTGGATTTCCTAGGAATTTCCTGGATTTCCTAGGAATTTCCTGGATCTCCTAGGAATTCCTTGGAATTAACGGGAATTAACAGGTATTCCTTGGATGAAGTGCAGTTTATTCCTGGTCTACAAACAACTGGAGTTCCTTGAAATTTCTTGGATTTCCTTGGAATTTTTTGGATTTTCTTGAAATGAAATTGAAACATATTAGGTTGCACATCCTCTGTTGTTATATAAGCAACTAGAAATATGTCCAAAACAGAGTTTTTCATATGGGGAACCCAGAATTATCATTCTTAATTCAGGATTTAAAATTTACATTCATACTCACATTGATTATTTTATTATTTTTCTGAGCAGCCATCCCTCCAGGACCCTTCCAATTGTATAAATTTACAATATCTCTAACCACCACAGTATTGAAAGTCCTCATTTTTGCAGTCTTGGAAACATAGCTATTTTCCAAAATGTGATTCTTCATAGCTGATATAACCAAACACAAAGTGTCAGAAGAATCAAACTGCAAACCCTTCACTATACTAGTAATGAAGCCTTTTTTCTCCAGAAGAACAGACAAAGCAGGATAGTGAACATCAATCAAATAAGCTGTCAAGAATCTTATAAAATGATCTCTAACACTGTTCTTTTCACCTGTATGTTTGGTCAAAAGTTCAATATTTGTAGAATGGAAATTGATGTGAATCAATATATCTTTAGCTAGATGAGAAGACAATGCAACCATAGCAGTAAGGAGCTTCAAACAGGCCTTCCTTTCTGGGGTAGTAGAGCTCAAATTGATCATTTTACTGAAAACAACAGCATAATTGTTGAGCATGTAGCGACATGCCTCATATGCAGCACTTTCGTACTGAGGACAACTGGCATTTATTCTCAGGAGGATATGAGATAGTAATTCAAAAACTATTGCTGGTGGGATACTGGAGTCAAGTTCAAGGGTTTGCAAGAGCTCCAAGCAACTACCACCACTATCCAAGTATTCTATAATATAATCATGGGTTTTGGAATCATTCACAGCTTCTAAAAACTGTTTAACAGCTGAAATACAAAGGATGAATATAATTATTTGAAGATTGACTATAAATCCTGATATTCTTACCAGCATGACTGCTTTCTTGGTTCAACTGCTTTCTGAATAATTTCGGGGAAAACAGTCTTGTTTTCTTATTTTCATTGCCAACAGCCAGTTGGTCCTTAGGTCGTTTCTTTGCTTTCTTTGATTGATCTCTTGATTCGTTTACTTGCTCCATTGTCTTTTAGTATCAGGATGATATTTCTGCCAGTCAATAATATCACTAACAAAATAGATACGAAATATTACTCAAAATGTTTTGATTTTGAACTGCATGAGTGCATGCACAACATGAAACATAACCTCACCGCCTCACCGGTGTGAGGTTGAGGTCGGCAGCTTCACCTGGCTGCTAAAATTTCCGAAGGTACCCGAGCGAGCTGAGCTGTGTGAAAGTGCAGCTAAACATAGCAGCCAAAATCTCCGCACATTGCCTTAGACCCAGTGGCGGACAACATTTTTTTAACTAAAAATGTCTGGATGTCTGACAAATTAATATTCATCATACAGAGCGTGGAAAGAAAATTATCTGAATTGACAGAAATGTCTGAATCATAGCAGCTATGATAGCAGCGATGTTCCTACAATGAAATAAATGGAATTCAACCCTCCAAATACAGGAAAATTTGATTTTTTTGGGAATTAATACAAAAAAAAACAACTGCGATGATATTTTTGTTAAGCAAATCATTTCTCAGGTCAGTTTGAATAATTTTTAGACCCTATCTCAAAACGGCATTTTTTCATTCACATCCCTATAACTGGCCAGTGGCGGAGATTTACCGATGACATAATTATTAATTGATTCACTCATCAGCTGCCAGAATAATAACTGCGGCTACTAAAATTCACGATGTCTCCATTTATTTTCTCGAATAATTATTGTACTTATATATACCTATACCTACCCCATATACAGGGTGTCCGCTAAAAGGAGGTCAATCCATTAACCATATATTCCTTGAACAAAAATGATATGAGTTTCTAAATACCATTTTTCATTTTAGCCCTTCTTATTCGATATACAGGGTGTCAAAGTTGAAAATTAAAAACTGTTTTTTTCTATAATTACTCGCGTAATTAATAAGATATTAATCTCAAAATAGGTACATCACTTCAGCACAAAGAGTTACATCGTGTGAGGAAAACAAAACAGAAAATAACTGTCAATCATTCAAAATACTGATGGAAGTCAAGTAGGTACACACTTACCCCCATATTTTTTTTGTACGTGCGCTAATGACTTCCTATCTATTTTTCTTCATGTGTTCAATCATTTTTGAGTATTTTTTCATTTTTGTAAAATTCCGATAAAATTATTTGTATTTAAGATATAATTCGAAAAGTACTGGTTATTGTTTGATGCCTTGCGGCTTACGGTAATCTCATAATGTTCACATACTCCTATTTATTTCGTCGAAATTGGAAGAGGGCGTATCTTATTACGTACGGAAAGGTGAATATGGAAATACCGGGTGCTCAGAGCGAATGTATTAAAATAATTTTTACACTTTTTAATTTTTTTTTTTTTTTGTAAAAATTATTTTAGTACATTTGCTCCGAGCACCCGGTATTTCCATATTTACCTTTTCGTACGTGAAAAGATACGCCCTCTTTCAATTTCGACGAAATAAATAGGAGTATGTGAACATTATGAGGTTACCTAGCCGCATAGGCATCAAACAATAACCAGTACTTTTCGAATTATGTTAAAAACAAATGATTCAATCGAAATTTTACAGATAACAAAAAATACTCAAAAATGATTGAACACTTGAAGGAAAATAGATAGGAAGTCATTAGCGCACGTACAAACAAAATATGGGGGTAAGTGTGAACTTGACCCCCAGTATCTTGAATATTTGACAGTCATTTTCTGTTTTGTTTTCCTCACACGATGTAACTCTTTGTGCTGAAGTAATGTATCAATTTTGAGATTAATATCTTATCAAATACGCGAGTAATTAGAAAAAAACAGTTTTTAATTTCCAACTTTGACACCCTGTATACCGAATAAAAAGTGCTGAAATGAAAAATGATATTTAGAAACTCATATTGTTTTTGTTCAAGGAATATGTGGTTAATGGATTGACCTCCTTTTAGCGGACACCCTGTATACCACTCGACGTCCTAGGGACATCCACCCAGACAGCACCAGATATTCCATGAATCTCCCTATCATATTCCTTTCGGAATATTGGAATATTTGAGGAATAATCTGGAATATTCCGGAATATCTGTGGAATATTCTCTAAATATGCGAATGGGAATTCCTCAGATATTCATACAATATATACCCAAAAGAATATTCTATGTTGAATGTTCCTGGAATATTCCAATAAACATAATCTAAAATAAAAAAATGTATCCAAGTAGGGATCGAACTCGTGACCTCAACACTATCAGAGCAACGCCTTAACCACTAGGCCAGTAATCGAATTGAATAATGTTGTACATATCAACTTCTTCTGAGAGCGTTGTTCGAAATCGGATCATAAACACTTTTTGTTTCAAAATCCCTTACATATCTAAATGATGTTTGATACTTACATCTCTGAAATAATGATTAGTATTTATGTGTTGAGGAAAATATTCATGGAATATTTCATGAATATACACCACAGAATATTCAGTTGGGGATATTTCATGAATATACCGCACAGAATATTCAGTTGAGAATATTTCATGAATATATACACCACAGAACATTCAGTTGGGAATATTTCATGAATATACAACAGAATATTCAGTTGGGAATATTCCTGCAAAATTCATACCTGAATATTCCCTGAACATATCCGACTATTCACTTTGGAATATTCCTTTTAGATGTTCCAGAGGCATATGTATATATTCTAGGAATAATCGATGAATATTCGGAATATACTCCCCCTTCTTAGCATATTTAGAGAATATTCAAGGAATATCCAGTGCTGTCTGGGCAGTTTTTATTAGGTCTGAACGTTCGAGACCTTCTCAAGACGTACTGAAAACGGTCATTTCTGGGCGTACTGGGGGTACGTACGATTCCGATGTACTGGGTACGACCAACTCTGGACATTACCCAGAGCTCGAGCACTGAATATTCCTAGAATATTCTCTAAATATGCTGAAAAGGAGGAGTATATTATTTCGAATATTCATCGATTATTCCTAGAATATATAAACATGCCTCTGGAACATCTGAAAGGAATATCCAAAGTGAATAGTCGGATATGTTCAGGGAATATTCAGGTATGAATTTTCCAGGAATATTCCCAAATGAATATTCTCTCTTGTATATTTATGAAATATTCCCAACTGAATGTTCTGTGGGGTATATTCATGAAATATTCTCAACTGAATATTCTGTGCGGTATATTCATGAAATATTCTCAACTGAATATTCTGTGGTGTATATTCATGAAATATTCCATGAATATTCCTATGTTTCTCAACACAAAAGTACCAAAATCATCATTTCAGAGATGTGAGTATCGAACATCAATTAGATGTAAGGGGATTTTGAAACAAAAAGTGTTTATGATCCGATTTCGAACAACGCTCTCACAAGAAATTGATATGTACAACATAATTCAATTCGATTACTGGCCTATATATAGTGGTCAAGGCGTTGCTCTAATAGTCTTGAGGTCACGAGTTCGATCCCTATACATGGGTCACTTTTTTTATTTTAGAATTTGTTTATTGGAATATTGCAAGAACATTCAACATAGAATATTCTTCTGGATATATTCTATGGATATCTGCGAGGAATTCCCATTCGCATATTTAGAGAATATTCCACAGATATTCCGTAATATTCCAGATTATTTCTAGAATATTCCAATATTCCAAAAGGAATATGATAGGGAGATTCATGGAATATCTGGTGCTGTCTGGGTATCGACTTTTTGTTTATGGGATTGAATAAATTGTTCAATGATAATCAATAAAATCATTGCATATATAATTTCTACCTTCGATCTCTGAAATCTATTCATATCCCTAACAACACGAGTACATCCTAGGGACTTCCCAGGGACGTCCCTAATTTCGAATAAGGACATCCCAGGGATATCTTTTCTGGGACAAAGTACATACTAGGGACGTCCCAGGGACATCCGCTTTCAGACAAAAAGGACATCCAAGGGATGTCCTTCCTGGTACGTCCCTGGGATGTACCGAGTACAAAGAAGGGATATCCCTAGGACGTCCCAAGGATATCCCAGGGACATACCTTCGACAAAAGAAAAAAAAAGTAGGTCTAGTTGGGATTGAACCCGGGACCTTCAGTTTATCAGGCACGCACCTTACTCCATTGGCCAATATGCCTTCTGAAGATTCATGTATTGAACAGATTTATAAACAGGACAACTACAGAAACCTGGATAAATAAAACTGTTAGGATTCGGGTATAATTATTATCATTCTTGGGTGTTTGAAAATAAGGGGCATTATGCATTTACGATCTCTGTTTGCGAAAAATGGTCATTTCTTGGGAAGTTCTGAGACTATATCCTTCATTTTCATCACAATTATTTTCCGGAAGAAATATATTTTCGAAAAAATTCGACTCAATATTTTGATGATATTGAATGACTCTCTGATGTGAAGAATGGATATCAGATATTCCAGGGACACGAATGGGATAACCTAGGGATGTACCGGGTGGGATGTCCACTGGACAACTACTGGCGGGACATCCCCTGGATGTCCCAATCATTTCCTTGTACCGCGGGACATAAAAGGGACGCACCTAGGACATCCCTGTGTTGTTAGGGATAGGAACCTTAATTGCAAACATAAACATAATACAATGCTCACAATAAATTCATTATTTTCACTGGCCCCACCAGATCACAAAACATCTATTTAGAGGTATATCTGCTGTGATTATCTAGTTCTATTAATGTTTCGATGTGATGATAGTCAGTCAATCGGCATTCGCACATAAATATATTGCTTCCCAATCAGCCAAAGTACGTCTCAAAGGCGTACATATTACGCCCAAGAGACGTCTTTAAGACGTCTTTAAAACGTACATTTTCCACTAATATGTACGTCTTTAAGACGTCTTTTTTAGGTGTTTTTGGTCCATGACCTCAAATTGATCTTTCAAATTACTGAAAAATCACATAGTTTCAGTTGATTTTTACCTGTGCACTGAAGTTAGTAACAAGTGCAGACAAGCAAAAA